GTGGGATAGCACCTTAGTGGACCCTCCAGCGCATCGCTGACGAGATGGGCACCGGCTTCAGGCATTCAACAAATTGGAGCGCGAGGGGGACGCCGTAGCTAGTGGGTGCGAGCTCGCAAAGTGGATTGCCAAATTGTAGTGATGCTATCATTGCCGCCGGTAGGGCTGAATTTAACCCAGTACAGGAGAGGCCCTGAGCCGGGCGACGTCGAACCATCAATGGGAATACTGACGGCAAAAGCTGACATGCGGGCCGGTGGAGGTGGCCGCTGCGAAGTTGAAATAGAAATTGCCTGCAGCCCGCAAGCGTCGCCTACCCAGGTCGGCATCTTGGCACAGCCAACCCAGACTCGTGCTGCAACTGGCCCGACCCATCATTGTTGGTGCTGGCCGTTATCGGGTGGGTGTGCAGCTGGGAAGAGCACAGCGTGGAGGTATATAGGGCCGGTCAAGGCAGAATGACATGTGAGGGGTGTTGTTCACTTGTAGAGTAGACCCAATGAGTGCTAGGGGAACGGCGCGATGAGTGGGACGCACCTTCGGACACGAGGACACAGGAGCTGATGATGGACGAAAACTGACATCTTGTGGGCAATGCATCGTCCTCGAGTCAGCGCTTTGGTTTTCTTCCGCGTGAGGAGGAAGTGGAGCATGGAAACGGCTTGCTTTAGCGTTACTCATGACTACCATTCCGAAGGAGATTTAGCGCCTGCTTTTGACTTGGTGAGAGCGGACTTGACGCAGTAAGCGTACGCAGGTGGCGCAGGAGCCCAGCCACACACCTTTGCCTTCTAGCCAGACAGGTCCAGCAGTGTCTCCGCTTGATCCAGACCACATCTCTGCTCGATTGATGTTTCTAAGAGCCGAGCACCAGGCCTTCAAGCTTCAGGCTTAAGTATGGACAGCAGGGCTAGAGGTTTGTGAAGGCGCTCACTGGCAGGTGTAGCTGACTGCTCGGGCAAGACTGCTGAGCCTTGAGATCAGGAAGGTCAAATGGACGATCCGGACATAACTGACCGGGAGATGCAACAGGTGAGTTGCTGATGTTGGCCGGCTCATTCTGAGACGCTTCTGATACCTGCGCAGTGCTGCAATATCAGTCTGGGACAAAGAACAAAGAAGTCATGAGGTTGTCCTCACCTGGTGCCTGGCGAGAAGAAGCTGCAGAGGTGGCAACTCTCCCACGTCCGCGCCCATGCCCACGCCCTCCAGTGACATGTTCTGGATCCGCTCGGACCACATCATCGCGTGCGTGTGCTTCCCCGTGTAGTCGCCCTCGTTCTCCTCAGTCTCGGTCCATTGGGCCGCGTAGTCCCTGCCGGGGTTGTCCAGCAAGAGGGGCAGGTCGAGGATGATGTGGAGGCATGATGTGGAGGTTGAAGCGGGTGAGGATGCGATGTGTTCGTGGGAGAAGAGCTTGATCATGAGGTCGATGTAGCGCTTTGTCTGCTCGTCGGGCTCGCCCTTGCCGAAGAACGAGTCGAGGTGAGAGAAACGTGCAGCTGTGGACCATCGTGTTATCCATGACACTCAATGG